GGTGCATGGGCAGCAGCATGAATTGTTTAGGTGTCGGGGCTGTAGCCACCTACTGGAGTGCGGCGGGGTGTGGAGAGCGGCCCCATCGTTATGTTTAATTGCTTCGCGATAGTCTGGGCATACTTTGACTCGTACATAAAGATGCCATGTGGCGTGTAGGTGACGTTGAGGCTGAGGAACAGGGTCCCTGTCATGGAGGTGGTGATGTCAACGCGGTGCCGTAGGCTATGCTCGAAGTGATGGAGCAGGTCGGATTATGTGCCGTTGTAGAATACGACGTTCATATCATGATGACTTGGTGAAGTATAACAGAAGGATATAGTGGTATATAGACGAGGGTGTTGTACCCTCTAAGGCTCAATGTAGTATAGTCTACAGTAACTGTCTAAGTTACATTTGACAGTTCACGTAAACAGTGTGGAGGATGGGGTCTCTGCGGAAGTGGATGCGATACATCCCGGGATGGAGAAGTAGCTCGATGTGTTGGCATGCAACAAAGTGGTGAAGGATGAACACGCTGTCGCCCGGCGAAATGCTACGTACAAATAGGAGAAGCAGTGAAAACGGCGATTGCGTTAAGGTCTAGGAGGTAGGCGACAATGTCGAGAGAAAAAAGGAGTACAACATAAGAGTGAGTGATACAACAGTAGGTGTGGTACCCTATACAGTAATGCTTAGTAACAACTACCAAGGCTACAATTATGTAATGTCATATACATTTTAACACAACCCTTAGGCTTGGTACCAGAAGGACCCACACACCCCCAGACCCCCTAACCTAGCACCCCGATTCCCATCAGCCACGACAACTCCAGCAGGGCCAACCCCAAGGCTCTGGAGATGGCGACGGCGGTAGTCCCGACAGTGGCGACAGCGACGGCGACGATGGGCGTGCGGCGGCAACAGGCGTGCGGCGACGACAGCAACGACGGCGAGGGCAGGAGCTTACGACGGCGGTAACGGGCGAGGCCCCCGCCCTACTGGCGGCGTGTCCAGACTCCGCACCAGGGGAACGACTGGCAGGCAGAAGGATGGCCGCGACGGCGGCCAACAGGGAACGAGTACGCAGCGAAAGCGAGGTTGGGAGCAGGCCCAGGAAGGGCGTCTTGCTCTGAAACCATGTCTTGAAGTTGGGCTAGGTAGAAATAGGAGAACCGAAAACCATGGTGTGAGGTTTATATGCAGTAGGTAGGCAAGAATGTGGAGAGAAAATCGGACTGCAAAAGAAGAGAGAGAGATATAAGGAGGAGTCTTGTACCCTGAACGGTACTGTTCAGCAACAGCTATCAACCGTACATTTGTATACAGACACTCCTAAGTTCACACACGCAGGCGTGAAGGCTGAAGGGCGTGAACGTAAGGTCGAAGTGGATGCCCTGGCATTGGTTGTAGCCACGTACGATGTATCGAGCCGTGCGGCAGTAGACGTTTCCGTTGGCCTAAGAGTTGAGGCAACTGTACAATTTGCATGTTAGGATTTTGGCGTTCACAGCGTTGCGCCATTCAGCACGGTGTGGACCAGTGAGAGCCTGCCATGAGGTCACTGGCTCGATCACGGAGGGATTCTCGTGGACGCTGAGTACCCAGACGTAGCGGGTGGTGGCGTCAATGAAGGTGAGTGTGTACTGCTTATCAGAAGAAGTTAGGACACTAGCTACTTCAGATAGGATACTAGGAGGCTAGGAAAGCCGCCATGGAATGGCGGGAGGAAAGTAGATGTAGGAGCTGGAAGAGAATTTCGAGAGAGAAGGGGTTCGATTAGGAAGGAAGAGGTGTACAAGGAGGGGATTGTACCCTCTTCAGAAAGGTTCGGTAACTAGCAAGCCTAACAGTTATGTATAACTTATATAATCTCAACACTGCTCCCCGTAGAGTCCTACTTGGGGTGTACTCTCTTTTTGGGGTTGAATGCCATGTGAGTATTTATCGGTAATACTGAACTACTATACGATGTTCATTGTTGCCGTGTATCATATTCTTAAACAGTCGTTCCGTAGTTGGCATATGGAAAGACGTGTACAATCTCGCATGTGATGTACGTTTGGACAGCTCAGCGCAGGCTCGGGCATATGCACGACCATTGAACACTGCCCGATACTGCAAAACCAGTGGTGGTTACGTCTCGTCCCAACCGGGCCCCAGCGCTAATCGGCGAAAGTACCCTCTTGCAAAACATTTCAGTTTCCGCCCGTCTCCGCCCCCATAGTCATAGATATGTGGGCCCATTTGCTCCACGCCCGTATACACAAAACGTAGAACAATGCAACAGCAAACTTAGAGTGCCGCACGAGTGGATGACCTAAACATACAGTAATCTGTTGCCCCGTCTCGCTCAGAGGGGTGTAGCGATCGCGTTTTGGCAAGTCCTGGACACTTTATTTCGCCACCGCCGCGGCGCCAAACCAGGATTCATGTCGGGGCCTAACATACCTTCCTCTACACCCTTCAAATCGTTCAGAATGCCCCGGCTGAACAGTGACGGGTGGCTCCTTGTCGAAAAGAGAGACAGGAACACGCTTCGCGGCCGCGTATTGCCCGCAGCCCGCTGGACGGGTTAGTGTCTTTTAATCATTGCATCTGGCTCGACGTTGCTCGTTCTACGGCAATCCATTTGAACATTGTTCCATTATCGGTGTCGATTCCCTTGCGCGCGGTACGGCGTACCGCCGAGGTGCACCGCATGTTGATTTGCCAGTCGCACACTGTAACGGCAAACGCCCCCCATCACGGCCACTCGCGTACTCACCGATTAGTGAGCCCGCGCTGCCGATGCAAGTCCCCGTACCCTTGCCGTCCCTTCTCAACAACTCACTCTCCTGCGCAAGGCACTAGCAGTATGTCGCATCCGTGCTTTTGCCAATAGTTGTGCGCTGAACCATGGCAGACGATGGCAGGCGTGGACCATCCCGCGAGCTTCCCTACCTACCTGACGATGTGTGGCTTAAAATCTTTGAAATTCTTCGGACTGGTCTTTGGGAGAACGGCCGGGATTGGCTAGACATCAAGCCCGACCTCAAACCATTTGTGCGTCAGCAGGCCGTGTGTCGCAGGTGGTACTATCTATCCCACCCAGCGCATCCCCTGGATTTCCCTTGGCCCAACTGCTACATGTTGTTCCGTCCACCGTTCACCGAGAGGGACTTGCGTGTGCCATGGCCGGCACTGGGGCAGCCGTCGGTAGAGTACCTCCGTGATTGGCTTTCTCGGGTCCGCCTCCCTGTTTGCACGGTGATGGTGCAGGGGGGATCCAGTGAAAGAATCCTCTGTTTCTCGATGTCCTGTGCGAACGAAGCCTTAGCGTCTGCATGTTGTACCTCTCATGTTTAATGGAATATTTCAGAGAAGTTACAACTTGCTGGCTAACGTGTTTCTTCGATTTGCGATGCACCACAAGGCCCCACCCCCGCCCCCCCTTTCCCTCTCCCCCCGTTAACCGCCGATGTCCGCCCCCCCGCTGTGGCCACGACTCCCTTTGACACATCCCCACCCTCGTTGCCTCTGCCCTACTCCGTGTCCCTCCTCTCTCATCTACCGCACACACGGTCCTTCTCGAGTGCTCGCTCTCCCACCTTTCCCCCCCCTGTCCTTGCTCTCAGCCGCCACGTATCTTTTCCCAGACCCAAAGCCGTGTCCATCGGACTCTGCTGTCCTGTTTGTTCATGCACCCCCCCTTAACCCAGGACCGTCCTCTCATGTCCCGCCCTTCTCCCCCCCTCCCCCTCTCCCTTTCCCCACGGGCTATGCCAACGCGTCCCCACCCCTCCACCCACCCCAAACTAACCCTAATCCCGACCCGCCACGTGTGCCCGCCTCATGGGTAATCCCCAGTGCGCGTTGTGGGAGTGGGAGTTCTCCACGACGCTGTGGGGGAACATCTACCTAGCACTCCCTCCATGCATCATGCACATGATAGAGCAAGGGTGGTGGCTGCATGCCATGAAGTGCCTGGTCGCTAAGCTCACTCCATCGGAGCGCGGCATCCTGCTCAAGTGAGTTGCTGCTTCACCCGCTGTGTGTTGCCTTTTATTTTCTCCAACTCATACTGGTCCTTGTAGTCCGTGACGTCCTTCCACATGTCCCCTGCCTCCCTTGTCTTTCGCCCTCCCCCCAAACTTTCCTTGTGCTCCCCACCCCCCCCCCCCCCCCAGCTGATACTCCGCTATCAAGGCAGTGACGCCGTCCTTCCTTCTGCGTCTGCCCAGCGGGTAGATGTACTTTTCCACGACCGCCGGGTTCGCGGCGTCTGAGCACCGTGCGATGATGCAAGTGCTTCCCCTCATCCTCATCCTCGACAAGCGGGAGCCACAGCGGGAGGCGGTCGTGCGCATGGTGACATGGTACAAGGAGCACATCCGTGCGGAGTACCACACCGACGAGTCGCTAGTGAAGCTGACGAGCGACGGCAAGGAGTACGTTCACGTTCACCTTGCTTACCTGCACCCACTCCCCACTCCCTCGAAGCTTGGTCCCCCCTTACATCCACGGAAGCCCCCCCTGCCGTGCCTTTCTTGTGCACCTTTATGAGTATCACACCTCCTCCAAACCCGCCCACCCACCCCCAACTTCCCCCACCCCCAATCCCCCATGACCCATTATCTGCCCGTCTGCACCGCATAGCATGGTCGACTCCCTAGGCACGGCATTCGACAACCAGAAGTCGGGGTGGGGGATTGTCAAGATCCATGACATCTGCCACCTCTCCGAGACGATCAAGGCACGTGGGCTCCCCCACGAGTACTCCAGCAACTCCTACGAGCACGCCCACAAGACCACTGTCAAGCGGCCGTCCCGGGGCTCGAACTGGAAGAATGTCGACCAGAGGATTGTGAAGAAGCACATTCAGCATGCGGTCGTGCGGCAACTGACGAGAGAGGTGGGAGGCGACGCCACCTATGAGACGGCAACGAAGCAGGTATGCCCCCTTCTCCCGTACCCCCATTTTCCCCCCCTTCCCTTCCCTTCCCTCCCTCCCCCCCTCCCTTTCGCCCCCACTCCTCCACCCCACCTTTGGGGCTGTCGACCTTGTATTCAGTAGGTGTTCCCCACTCACATCTGCCTCTCGCCGTCCTTGATTTCACCCTCCCCCAACCCCATCCGCCCTCCACCCCCTTGTGTTTCACCCACCCCCCACTGCTGTTACCCCTCCCTGGCATCACCCTTCCCCACTCCCTGACAGCACACTCCCTCATCCCCATACTTTATCCCCGATCTTGGAAATCAGCCCTCCACTCTCCCACCAGCCATCCTTCTTCTATGCATTCACCCTACACATCTCTTGTCTGCCTTATCACCTCATAGGATTCCCCCTTCCCCACTCCCATCCTCCCCTTCCCCTTCGGGTTGTCCCTTAACCCACCCCGACCCTCCCAAACGCCCTAACCACCCCGTGTACCCGACACCGTCCCCCACAGGCGGCCCTCCTTGGCAAGAGGGTCATGACGAAGACTTGCAGGCGCATGGTGGTGGGGGACCAGCTGGACACCGTTTTCGTGTCCTACATACGTACTGCTGGCATGGAGGCGATGCGAGAGATGGCAAACAAGATGGACCTCGCCAACATCACGACGCGCACTATCTGGGTAAGTGCTTAACCATCCCAACTCCCCATCTGCCTCCTCAACGCTCCTATGAACTTGCAAGCCACACTTGTGGGAGGTGCTGGTGTTCATGATTCCATGAAGTGAGCCCTCTTAACCCGTCTAGTTAAGAACTATGCCGGTCTCGACCCTGACCGAAACCCTTTCGCGTATTGCTTTATCTCATCCCCCCCCCACCACTCCCTCCCAACACCCCCATCGCATGTACATTACCCTCATTTCCGCTGAGCCCTTCACCGCATGTCCCCCCAGCCTCCACTCCCTAATCCCGCCTTGCTGTTCCGCCCGTCCATGCCACTCTTACCTGTGTGCATGCAGGTGCACACGGCCATGGCCATCCCCCCCCACGACCGCATGGAGTGGACGGCCAAGGGACAGTTTGTGAAGGCGACCCCGCATGAGTGGCTCTTCTCCGACGTCTCTATCAAGCCCGCAGATGGAGTCGGCCCACCGTGGTACGGCCGGGCCCTCGTGCTGTTCCACTACCTTGACGATGCAGGTGTGGAGGGTCGTGCCGCCTACATTCAGTACTACACCGAGCACCCGCGGCCATGCCCGGACACCGGGTGCAAGCGCCTGAGCCCAACGACGGGCATCGACAACTACGCTGTCATTGACATGGATTGCATCCTAAGCCTTGCCCATGTAGTCCCAAGCTGCACAGAGCCTGAGTACCGGCTTGTTAACCGTTTTCTCTTCTGACTCGACATGCACGTGCCACCCTGACTTTATAAATTACATTGATTACGACTACCATAAGTATGTGCTAACAATCACACTTCCGACGATTTTGCACGAGCATGCTAGACTCCGTGCCATCAATTGCTGCTGCACTGTGAAAGACAGACAATGCAATGCAAAAACCATTTCACCATTTCTATACAATAACCATGGTGAAAATTAACACTTTAATGAGCCTTTAAGTTACGCAAATACAACAATGCAGTATTTTGTAACCTTTCCACAACAATGCATCCGCAAAACATCTCAACCGCGCAACACTCGCAAACCGTTCACATGAATCGAAACGATTAACAAATACTTGGCGAACACTTTGCGGATGATCTCCAACTTTGTGCTTCGCCCAAAATGGCGTAAACGTTTTGCGAACGTGACACTTTTTGCGATGCATGTGCGCGCTGCCATGTGCGTGCTGCCATGTGCGCGCTGCCATGTGCGCGCTGCCATGTGCCCACTGCCATGTGCTCGCGGCCATGTGCACGCTGCCATGTGCGAGCTGTTATGCCATTGCTGCATGCAACCATAGCACCGCATACGCTGCCATATGGACAGGAAAGGGGGGCTGCTGAGCATACCTCTGACTTGACTGTGCTTGAGCACCGGGGAAGCGGACGCAGGTGGCGAAGGATGAGTGGTCGCGGGGGACGGGTAGAGTGGGGGAGTGAGGAGTGAGTAGGAAAGAGCAGAGAAAAGGCATTAGAGGTTACGTATGGTCTTACTGAGCATGGTACGAAAATAGGGAAATGGGAATAGGGAATAACTCAAGGAAACAGGGAGACGACGCATGGTCGTACCGAGCAGCTCGAGGTGAGCTTTTGAGGCGCCTCAAAAGCACTCTTACCGAGCAGCTCGAGGTGAGCTTTTGAGGCGCCTCAAAAGCACTCTTACCGAGCAGCTCGAGGTGAGCTTTTGAGGCGCCTCAAAAGCACTCTTACCGAGCAGCTCGAGGTGAGCTTTTGAGGCGCCTCACAAGCACTCTTACCGAGCAGCTCGAGGTGAGCTTTTGAGGCGCCTCACAAGCACTCTTACCGAGCAGCTCGAGGTGAGCTTTTGAGGCGCCTCAAAAGCACTCTTACCGAGCAGCTCGAGGTGAGCTGCGACAGCTAGGGTGAGGGCGGGAAGCGAGTGGCCATGATGATGACGATAGTCGAAGGCCACAGAGATGACGGGTCGCTGTTTCTATAGCGTCTCAAATGGCATGGTATCCTTAGAAGAGGTGTTACCCTGAAACGACCTCTAACTGACTCTTAGACAAATTGAAATGCATCGTCATCTTTTATTCCAGACGGCTGCTTAGCTTAGCCTACCCTCTTTCTCACCTTTCAAAGCGCTCGAAGTTCACTGGCGCACGATCCATTCCGTGGCACCGTGTAAATCTGTACTACTGGCTTATCCTAAGTTGCGAAAGAACACACTTGTGACATTGGCGTATAGCTCATTGCAGAGGATCATGAGGCGATTGGCGAATGCTAAGCTAATAGCCTAGGTAGCCACCATACTTCACTAGCAGAATATCACAAGACTTGTTCCTAGCTAAGACATAGATGGCTCATGTGATTTGGGAAGGTGGGGAAACTGAGAGAGGGAGTTGGGTTAGGGTTTGTGTACGAGAGTTGGGCTGGATTGGGAAGCCTTGGTTGGTGGTGGGTTCCCTGGGAGAGCAGATGGTGGTTGGGCTTCCTGAGTGAAGACCAAAATTATGCAGCTCGGGCTGCGCAATAGGGATTTGGGTTGGATTTCAGACAAATAGCGTTCATCCTTCACACCCAAACATCCGTTTCGTGTGCCCCACAGCACAAACACCTGACCCAACCAAATTGTGGATATGGTTGGCAACCACCCCCAGGGGCAATTCAGGAGCTAGATGGAGCAATCACGCAAGTTTCATGCAGAAAAAGCTACGTGACACAAATTGGGTCCAGAATTTTTTCGCGATGCCGAAAAATAGGGTCGTATTATACGGCCCGTATAATACGATTACCGTATTTTTGCACCTTGGGTGAGGGGATGTATGGTGAGAGGATGGTTGGTGGTGAGAGGATGTATGGTGAGAGGATGTATGATGGTGGGAGCCTCATAAAAATGTGGCTTTCACCTACAGAGTAGCTATTGCTCGTATAGCTAGCAAGGCTACTCCGTGGCTTACGTACATACAATATAGCCACTGTGTACCTACACCCTGTTTCTGGTCCCGATTTTTTTATCCTGATAGAATATGTTGTGAGGGCGTGTGGTGTAAGTGAACCGGTGGTGATGTTGGAGGGGCACTGGGTAGGGCACTGGGATCGTCCCGCAGTTGAGTGCGGAAGAGCTACAGGTCCAACCTGATGGGTGTGCTAACCACCACAACAACTGTTGGTGCAACCCTATGGCTTGCACTCGGCTTGTCGTCCTTGTTTGTGTGTGTGTATGCATGGCATGGAATGAATTGTGAGTCTATGTCATTGCTATCCAGTGCTTGTGTGTGTGTTTGAATGGTGTATCACAATGTGGTTTGTGTTGGTCAAGACATTAGCGAGTTTTTACAACTCGCATGTCAAGTCGTCGTTTGTGTGTCGCATGTGTTTTTTCTATTTTGTCGAGTGTGAAGTGTCCATCGTGTCGCAGGTGTGTGCAGAAAGCCCCCATCAACTCAAGAAGAATTTATCTTGCAGATCCAAGAACAAGAGCTCAAGATTTCAAGCCCAAGGGACGCAGATAAATATTTAAATAGTGAAAATAGTAACGTTACTTCGTGTAGTGTTACATTTCACTTGGTGTAGCCCCTTGGAGGGTTGGTTTCGAGACTCTTCATGGTTGGGGACTCTGTGGTGGTGTACCACCAACCTGGACCTCGGCTCTTCAGGTATGTATAGGCTGGGAACCATCTCCCTCTCGAACTCTTCTTGCTAAGTTTGTACTCCTAAGACTATAGTGGCACCTATACCTCCTGCTAGTCAAACCGCCATAGCGTTGTCAAATCTTCATGGAATTTCATGATTCAACTTGCTGCTGATAGACGACAGCAATGCGCTCAAGATCTAACTTACAGATCACCGTTTGATTCAGTGACCAGATCGTTATCAATATTTGAAGCCGTCTGACGGAAATCCAACTGTGCTCTCTATCTCTCATTATAGGCACATCTGAGCCTATTGTGATTATAACAACAACAGGCCCTTTTAACCCAGTCGGTACAGGGCTGGGCCAAGAGGTGAGAGGATGCGTGGTAAAAGGACTTGTGGTGAGAGGGTGTGTGGTGAGAATGGGTGTGGGAGTGTGGAGAGGATGTGTAGTGTGGCAGGAGGATGTGGTAAGGGGAGCGTGGTGCGAGGGGGTGTTTGGCCATGTGTAGGTACAGCATCGGTGGGGCGGTGGGATGGGAGGGCGTGCGAACATTAAGGGATTAGTCTTCCCCAGCTCCCTTTGCACCTCCTGCGTTCTCTCTGCTGACGCAGTGGCTGTTCTCCTGGACCTTCAAGCGGAGTGGGGCGTGACCTTTAATGGGTGGGGGATGGGAGGGATTTGCGTCGACTTTGACCAACCGGCTCTTTGTGATAAGGATGGCATGGTAGAGAGCATGTGAGTAATTCCTTGGCAGGGCAATTGCACTACATGCCTTCATGCCTTCATGCCATGCCTTCTAAATCCTCCGTGCCTTACTTTTGCAGACTCCTAGCAAAAAGTTCCAAGGTGTCGACTTACGTTGCTTGCTACCAGTACCTACTATTATTTGATACCACCAGTAATAATTTCGTCCACCGCTAAACACTTTCGTCGTGATCCCTAGTCCCTTCTCTGATGGTTTTCCCTCCTCTTTTTCTGCCAGGAGAGTTGTAGGGGGAAACTTTGCTGGGTCTCTTCCATCTACCATCGGCAATTTGAGGAAACTCGTGGATCTGTTAGTGTCATGCCTATTCATTTGCGAGGGACGAGGCCTACATACTCTAGAAAATGAGCGCCCTATAATTTCCCAGTTCTGCTATAGAGAAACCGATATTATATGCTTTGTTGCTCTCAGGAAGTCTTGTAAATTGTAACCGCGACTGGAGGCCTGCGCTTCATCTTGCGGTTTATCCTCCCTACATTCGTGGTTTATGTACTTAGTGTGCACATGGATCTTTTGATTAATATCCTCTATTGCGCTCCACAATTCTGTTCCTCCAGGGACCTTAGTGCGAACAACTTAAGTGGATCGATACCAGCCACCATAGGAAACCTGCATGGCCTCACCAACTTGTGATTATATAGAGCCTGTTTCGATCGCAGTGCATCTTTTGCACTTATTTTTCGCTAATAGCCGCTCCACTCTTGGGATCTCTTGACTGTCAGCACCTTTACGACGTTCGTCTTCCAGTATCTCAGCCACCTATCCATGCGTCTGTCTTTTCTTGCCAACAACTATTTGACTGGAATCCTTTGATGTTCCCCCCCCATCCCTCCCTCTGCCAACCTTCTCAAAAAAAATAATCTGATTTCAAATACAGGGACCTGAGCTCGAACGTTTTTTCTGGGCCCATCCCAGAAGCTATTGGAAATCTCACCAGCTTGACATACTTGTGAGCCTGAAGAAGCATCTACATGTGTAGTCTAGCATACTAGCCTTATAACTTGAGAGGAAAATCACAACTAAGTCAGTGTAGTGTTGAGAAGGTGGATCAATCCAAGCTGCACTGGAGTTCATTTAAAGGGGGGGAGATCAATGCTGAAATAAGGACTCTGGTAAGTGAGGTCAATAATTTCAAGAGAGAACTTCTTGCCTTTAATCACTCCTCTCATTTTTTCTCTCACACTCTCCCATTGTCCAACCTCCCGTCTGTAAACCCCAACACAGAAACCTGAGCTCAAACAGTCTCACTGGTATTCCGAATGCCATTGGGGGCGCCACCTCTTTGACATACTTGTAAGGGCTCTTGGCAATAGTAACTTGGAGGTGACTTTCGAGTCGCTCCAAAAGTTGACTGAGACCATTCCCGAAGTCACTGACTGCACCACCTTATCGACTACAAACACTCTTGCGAGGGTTCAC